AGCGGTAAGGGAGGAAGTGGGGCACAGGCAGGGACAGGGACTGGGGTGAGTGGGGCCCCAGCCAGGCTGGTTGGTGGGACAAGCAGAGGCCCAGGGAGCATGTGCCCCCTTGGTCTGTGCATGGGGCGGAGGCAGCTGCCACTGCGAGCTAGGCTTTGCTCCCCACTGCAGCTGCCCCATGCCCCCTGCCCACCCAGTGGTAGGACATACGTGGTGTCACACAGCTCTCAGGTCAGCGGGGCTCAAAGCCCAGCATGCAGTGGTAGCTGCCTCCACCCTACACACAGACCAGAAGGGCACATGTCCCCTGGGCCTCTGCTTGTCCCACCACTCACCCCAGCCCCTGCCTGTGCCCCACTCCCTCCCTCACTGCTGGGGCCTTGATCTCCACCCCCACTCCCCCACACAGCCTTTCTCCTCCCCCTGCAGCTTCCCCCACAGACTTAACTGCTGGTGGGGTGCATGTGCACATACTTGTGCACACTCAGCCCTCCACCCCCCCCAATAATTTTTTCTCCCTCCACCTATGCTTATCACATACTTAATACAATAATACTTTTGACAAGCAAATTGTTCCCCCAGCCCTGCACAACATCAGGAGAAGAAGTGAATATAGGTCTAACTATCAATGCCATTTGAACTACTTTGACTTTACTTTGCAGAGCCACTGGCCATTGTCTTTGAAAACTCGTGCTAGATGGGAGAGGTCCTGGATGACAGGAAAAGCACAAATATAGTGCCCATCTTTAAGAAAGGGAAGAAGGAGGATCCAGGGAAGTAAAGACCAGGCAGCCTCACCTTAGTCCCTCGAAAAGTCAGGGAGCAGGTCCTCAAGGAATCCATTTCTAAACACTTGGAGAAGGTGATCAGGAACAGTCAGCATGGATTCACCAAGGGTAAATCATGCCTGACCAACCTGATTGCCTTCTACGATGAGATGACTGGCTCTCTGGATGTGGGGAGAGCAGTGGATGTGATATACCTTGACTTTAACAAGATATACAGAATTTCCCTATAGCTGAAGAAGGGCATTTGTGCCCGAAAGCTCACAAAGAACATTTTTTACAACTATTTAGTTGGTCTAATAAAAGATATCTACTCAAAGAACCTTCTTTGACTTTAACAAAGCTTTTGATCAGTCTCCCACAACATTCTTGTAAGCAAGCTAAAGAAGTATGGGTTGATGAATGGACTGTAATATGGATAGAAAACTAGCTGTATCGTCGGGCTCAGAGGGTAGTAATCAATGGCTCTCTGTCTAGCTGGCACCTGGTCTCAGGTGGAGTGCCCCAGGGGTCAGTCCTGGGGCCAGTTTTGTTCAATGTCTTTATCAACAACCAAGAAGATAGGATGGAGTGCGCCTTCAGCAAGTTTGCTGATGACACCAAGCTGTGGGAAGTAGTAGATACACTGAAGGGTAGGGCTAGGATTCAGAGAGACCTAGACAAATTGGAGGATTCAACCAAAAGAAATCTCATGAAGTCCAATAAGGACAAGTGCAAAAATATTCACTTAGGACAGAACAATCCCATGATCCCATGCACTGGTACAGGTTGGGGACCAACTGGCTAAGCAGCAGCTCTGCAGAAACGGACCTGGGGTTACAGTGGACAACAAGCTGCATATAAGCCAACAGTGTGCCCTTGTTGCCAAGAAGGCTAACGGCATACTGGGCTGCATTAGTAGGAGCGTTGCCAGCAGATTGAGGGAAGTGATTCTTCCCCTCTATTCTGCACTGGTGAGGCCACATCTGGAGTACTGTGTCCAGTTTTGGGCCCTCCACCACAGAAAAGATGAGGACAAATTGGAGAGAGTCCAGTGAAGGGCAATGAAAATGGTTCAGGGGCTGGGGCACATGACTTCTGAGGAGAGGCTGAGAGAACTGGGTTTATTTAGTCTGCAGAAGAGAAGACTGAGGTGGAAGTTAATAGCAGCCTTTAAGTACCTGAAGGCTGGTTCCAAGAAGCTAGAGCTAGACTGCTCTCAGTGATAGCAGATGACAAAAGAAACAATGGTCTCAAGGTTGGTACAAGGTAAATTGTCCTGGGTGAGGTATGGAGGGACTGTCTGAGGTACTGGGGGACTCCTGGGGAAGCAGTGGAGGTGATCCAGCTATTCAGAGCCTGGTTGGAAGCCAGAGAGTGTCTCTGACTGGCCAGGCTCCATTTCTAGAGGCGCACACTGCTTCTGCATGCACTGCATCACTTTTTGCAACATTTTTTTTTCTTTGACACTGAGATCTCCTGGTGTCAAATTTTGGTGCTGCACTGCAAATGTGCAGCACAGCAAATGGCCACATGTGCACCATGTGCAGTGCCACAAACCACACATGCTCCTCAGGCCTTGCCCTAGCTAGGCGTGATTCATTGTTTGTTTTAACCTTGGGTTTGGGAGCCCCCATGATGAATCAGGATCCCATTGTACTAAGCACTACGCAAACATCAAACAAAAAGGTGGTTCCTGCCACAAAGGCCTTACAGTGATCAGAATGGCCAGTCATTTTTTATGACCTTTCAACCAGCCAAGTCAACCATTCCTAACATGCCAAAAATCAGGACAGATGTCCTGATTTTCTTCATCCACCCTTATTTTCCAAACCCTTAGTTTCTTATATGTCTCCAGATTGTAGCTGCAAGTAAGGTTATAAATCACTCCAATTTTGCAGCCATTGACCCAAAAAAAAGAAACAGAACAGCAGTTGTCCACAGTAAAGTGCTGGGCAGAGGGATAGTAAAGTCACAAAGAAAATAGAGAGCAATCTTGGGAAACACAGCAATGAAAGTATTTATTCACTTGGGTCCTGGCACTGTCACGGGAGGGTGTCACTTGCAAGAAAGATCGCTGCCTGCAGTCTGTTCCTCTCAAAAGTCAATATCCACAGGGACCTTATTTATGAAACTGTCTCCTCCACTTTCTTGGACACAGAATAAGAATGCCAATTTTTTTCATGTTTAATCTCCTTTCCCCCAACTTGTTTATTTCATTGTTCTTTGCAGCTCCAGCAGGTTTCTAGCAGCTAAATGCAGAAACAAAGAGAAACAATGCATAAAAGCCACGTTTTGTCCAGATTTACAATCTTGTCTCTCTAAGTGGGGCACAGAGTGGAGAGGCAGCAGGCCGCCTAACTCCCCAAAACAATGGAATCCAAACACAAGTCCCCCAAAGCTACAAATCATTGTGCTGCCAGGAATATTGTAATGGGGCTGGAAGAATGAATCCTGTAACAGCTGGATCCTTATTTAAACTCTGACACTACCAGTTTTCACTGTATGCTTCTGCTAGACACCTCAGAACAATTGGGAACCTTAAACACAACTAGTTCAGCAAGCAAGTGCTCTAGTATCAGTCCTTAGGAAACTGGGGTGCCAATGGAGGTGGTCAGGGAAGGAATCTTGAAGCCTGAAGGTAGGTGAAGCCTTTCACTTTCCTGAGTCTGGAAACCTTCACTGATGTTCATTAAGCAATCTATGTCCTAGTGGAAGAGGAAGAAAAATCAGTTTACATCAGTCATAGATTTCATAGACATTAGGGCTGGAAGGGACCTCGGAAGATCATCGGGTCCAGCTCCCCTGCCCCTGTCTTTCTGCTTCAGTACATTTTTATTTTTTATCGCACCTACAAATCCTGATTGCATATACCAGTGGGCATGGCTTTAATTAAAAGAATTATGATTGACATAAAATACATGGAACAAAGTATGTTGCACTGTTCTGAGCCAACATATGATTCACATTTCAAAAACCAGTGCTGAAGTCATAAGGCAGGTGCAAGTGATTGGGAAGTGGCACAGAGAGATACAAAAGATGGAAGGAGAAGAGGGGGCAATGAGGGTTTTGACAAGACTTTGGAAAGTGCTGCTGTGAGTGGTGCTGGCAGAAGATACCAGTGCCAGAGGACACGGGCAGCGTGTGCTGGAGGGCAGCCAAGCTTACCAGCAAACCTTTGGACAGATGTTTGGTTATTAAAAAAGAGAGTGAGTGCATTGGCAGTACTCTGTACACAGGGTTTAGGACGAGACAAATTTGGATCTGGATTAGGAAAGGAATCGCTGATGACATTAAATATACTGTAATTACTCAGGCTTTTGCAGGCTTTGTGACTTGCAACTTGGATTTGTCTTCCATGGCTTCTAAAGCCTCACTTGGTAGATCACTAACAATGAAGCTACCATTAGCATGGATGGATGGAGCTAAGACCAAGTGCTGGTCATACTAAACTCACCACCTTGTTGTTGCATGATGAGGCCGTAGGTTATATCTGATCCTGTCACCAGCAAGTCCAGTGCACTGTCTTTGGCACTGGCCACGTTCTAAAAATAAGTCTGATTGGCTGGTCTCTATATTCTTGAATCTTTTCTCTGCCCTCTGAGATTACTTCCATTTTATTAAATTCCCTGCAGAATGATCAACATCGATCTTTAGGATAGTGTAGGACCTCAGAGCCCCAGTCAGGGGCCATGCCTCATTGTGCTAAGTGCTGTACAAACACAGAACAAGGAGATAGTGCCTTCCCCAGGGGGCCTGTATCCTAAGCATAACTGAAGGAAAAAGAAGATGGATGCAGACATACAGTGGAATACAGGAAAGAATGAAATGATACCAGTCAGTGTTATTGGCAGCAGTATCTTCACATAGGCAGCCTAACTGTGGTCAAGTTTTTGTGGGTATCACAGCACTGGAGAGTTGTAAGGAGGAATTTGGATGATGATAATGAGGGCACTTTGCAGATGGTTATGGGGAGCATGAGAGTGCATGAAGGTACTTGTTGGAAAATGTAGCAAGTGGGTGATGGAAGCTGTCGAACTGCTGGGTAGGAGGCAGGAGCTGACAGCTTGATACCGCATGAGAGATGATGAGCAAGGTGAGAATAGGTTGAGAAGGGCTTTGAGAGTGCAGGTGCTTAAGCTTCACTTAAAAAAAGTGATAACCAAAGAAGCCAATTCCCAGGACCAGCAGATGCATCACAGGGCTCTTACCTACATGACAAGACTGCCAGTATGGCAAAGGCCATATAACCATCACACTCTGTAGATAAGGTGGTGCTGCTGGTCAAACCTGTGGTGTAGACAGCTTTGCCAGTAGAAAGCAGGTCCTGCAGCAGTGATTCTGTCATTCATAGGAGCTGCTGTGGGTCAAGCAACAAAACATTTCTTCTGCTGGCAAAGCCATGTCCAATCAGGGGCCAATCAGGGTGGGCACTGTAACATGACAGCAGCCCCCGCAGTGCAAATGCAGGCTGGATTCCACAAGTTTCGTTTATGTAGCCTCTATTCATCTGTGGCGAAAAAGAGAAAAACAGTATTATTTTTAGGAAGATTATATGAACCTCAGTTTACATCTGCTTGATATTATTCTGCCTGATTGCATAGAGTTAAATCAAAAGAGGGCTGTTAGAAGGAACAGGCAATGAAACAATAACTAAAGTTCAAATATCTCTGGAAAATACCATAAGAGCCCTCAAGAAAACAATGGGTTGATTATTAATTGAGCACTACTCACCTACCTGGCTCCAGTCAGGTTAACAGGCACATTTTCCAGATCTGGGCCCCCCTGATCAAAAAGACACTAAATCATGAGATACCCTGCACAGAGAGGAAAGTCAGTCAGTAGGCAGCAGCCAAAAAGAAACAGCAACTTCAACTAGTTCAGAACAGGCTGCATCTGAAACAAAGCTCTTTTGTTAAAAAAAACCTTCCAAGTTTCTGTTTAATCAACTGGAATGAGAAATTCCAGCATCACCAATTACAGAGAACTTCCAAGAACTGCACTTGAGTCAAATGCTTCCAGTGACAAAATGAAGGATGGTTTGATAGGCTTTCCTGTAGGTAAAGACAGTGTGGTGACCTTCAATTAGGAGAAGACAAGCACTGATAACAGATCGGCCCCGTTCAGGAACAGTGAGCTCTCAAAGTCATTTCTTGCATCTGATTTTCTATGGACTTTCTTTTTTTAAGTGACAAATTGGAAATAATATGAGCATCTTAGTTGTCACTCAGCCATCATCCTGCCTGATGTCTCATGGTATTAGACATGTCACCATTATTAATGCAATATTCCATTCTGAGTACTATTGCACAGGATTTTTTAGGGCATCAGTGCTACATATGGTCTGGCACACAAGGATCCTCTCTCTGTTGATTCCTCCCTAGTCTTCAGTCAGCTGAGCTGACCTTGGTCTTGTAGCTTTGTGTCCCTGTCAGATTTTCTGGTTTACTGCCAACTCTTCTGTCATGCCCTAATGCACCAGCCCCTACACTTCACATCCTGGATAAAATATTTTAACAGCATTCTTGTCATACTTCACCAAGCCAGACATTGTAACTTGGATTTGGAGTGGTGCCTGAAGATAGTTCTAGAGCCAAATATTTTGAAGGAGCCTTAATTTAAACTTTTTCCCTTTTAAAAGGAATGCCCTTTCCCCGCCTCACTTTTAGGAGTTTCAGGCAACTGCTGTTGGTTCCACAAATGCTTGAAGCTAGTTCTACGAAAACAAATCACCATCATCTAGCAATGAGCTTCCCCAAAGAATATGGAATTTGTGAAGTATTTGCTGACTGACTCAAAATGGCAGCATCTTGAAGGGATATTTGGCCTATTGCTTACTTGATTTAATCCGTTTACTGCTGTGGGGATGTGTAAGTTTCAGCAACATGTCCCTTCGAATCAGTAAAATGCTATTTGGCAAGAAATTATGCAAGAAGAGCACACTTCTCAGGCATGCTACAGACAAGATGCTTTGCACTTGCCTTCTACTGAGTTGAATGGGTGTTCAGTTAACCTGATGCTAACATTCACGTGCATTTCTGCAGCAGTTAAGGGGCTAAGCAATAAACTTCCCCTTTCCTGCTGGTAGAAGTCTGATGAGGGGCTGATTTCCAGATATGCTGAGCATCCACCACTCACATGATGGCAGGAGACCTGCAGGTGAAAATCCCTGGAGATATAAACTGTTCAAGCACTCCAAGAAGTAAAGTTGCTGACTCCGACTAATCTCGATATCTTTAGACCATGCAGCACTGTATTTTAGTCCTCACTTGTCATAAAAGTCAAGTGATCTAGTCAATATCTGTGGAACACTCTGACTGGGTTATCGACCCTGGGCACAGAGTTGTCATACTAGATTAGCATGCCACCTGCTAAACTGAGCCTCTATGAAATATTAATTATAGCTGCCTTTTAGGAATCAAAATCTGCCAGAAAGCTGCTTAGAAGAGTAACTCTCACCTAGGGGGTAAAAAAAAATTATAAAGAGCTGCTTCTCTAGTAATTAAATGTTGTACAATACAGTCACTGGAGCTGGGAAGAAGGTTGGCATTTATTAATACTTTTTGTCTCCCTCACTCCTATAAGAAATATTTTGTATGTGAGCACTGAGCATGCCTTTTTAATTTATAATTTAGAAAAGATAAGATAATCCTGAATGAATACACTGTTATGGTTAATGAGCAGAATAAAAAGGAATATTTAATCCCCACACAGAGAATATGTTGCTTCTATATTGCTCTATATTTTATTGCAAATTATTTCTGATAACAAGTGAAATTTGCCTGTATTCTCTATATAGGTAAAAAGTGGATAGCTTTGTGGGTTGCAAGAAGACAAGCTAGTGTTATTTGAGGATAAAAAGTATAGTTGTTTGCTTTAGACATCAGCTTTCGGAAGAGATTTCAGAATTCTAGGTGCATCTATCTGATTTGGAGTCTATGAAATAATTACTCTCTCTTCTGCCACTCCAGGGAACACAGTTTCTTGTACTTCAATGGGAATAAAAAACTGTATTATTGGTATGATTTGGTTTGTCACTAGAATATTGAGATGGCTACCAAAAGGTCAGGGTTTCAGAAAAGTCTTTATAAATCTTGAGAATTATTTATTTCCAAATGATGCATCAACCAATCTAACACCACAGGATGGCATCATACCCATGAGTTACAAGACTGTCATTGACCTAGCCAATCTGGTTTGCACGGCTGAAAATAAGATTTTGCTAATTGTCCACTGTAAAACACTCACCTTATTCTCACACATCTGCCATATGGCTCCAAAACCAGAAACCAGCTTGCAGCACCTGTACTGACTCACTTTTCACAAAGAGGCTTCAATACCTCAGTAATTGGTGCATGAGGGATTAGATGAGATAGATAAACATGAGGTCAGAAATGCTGCCAACACCTGAGAGCAAGAACTCTGACTATTCTCAAATTGACTTTTGGCAAAAAAGAAGGCACTTCTCTGGCAACTGAGGGAATTGTTTTTCTCTGCAGTAATTCAGGATGGCTACTAAATGTTGTGTTGGTGTCAGATATTTAAATGGTGAGTAAGTTAGCAGGAGAAAAACACTGCTTGCTGTTCATGCAATCTTACACTCGAAGAAAGCTATACATCACAGCTCTGAGAGCAGGTTTAGATCAGTTCTGGAGAATTATAGCACCCCAGTGACATCAGCACTGTGAAATACAGCTTAGTTTTGTTAGTTGACAATGGTTTTAGGACACATCAGATAAATAAATAGAATGCCAGGCCAGTATGTTGTAAGAAATGGTTTATGACCTTCATCACAAGTGAAAGGGGAGAGAACAGGCAGGTGTTGTGAGTGAGCACATCTGCATAAATAGGCATAATAAATAATAACATTGTGGAAAAGGCAATATTCTGGAATGCATTTATGGGAGCTGCAATGCTGCCGCCTTAGGACATTTTTGGTGGCCCAATAAACTATTTGAGAATGATTGTTTTTTCCCTCTAATTTGCCCACACCAAAATGTGTATTTCAAGGCTGTCCTGCTCCCAAGCCAGCTGTTTTTAGACAATATTAAATTGCCTCTTTCTGATGAGGTTTCCAACATCCTGCTTTCAGGGTAATTATTTTACTCTCCCTATTTCTCATCTAATTTTTTTCCTTCTCCAACACATGTCAATGCCCTCTGCAACTTCTGGCTGTCAAGGTGGAAATATTCTCTTTTGACTGCACCAGCAAAATATGGACAAAAGTAGAGCATCAATTCCTCTTTTGCACAGGCATGCTTTCATATCACTCATCTGATCTCAACTGCACTGACTAGGGCCCCAGCACCGCAGCTAACCATGCATACTTAAAATTAAGGACTTGAGTTATATCAGTGGCTGAGATTTTATCAAGGCTAGGGGAACTGCATAAACTATAGAACTGGGGTCAGGAAGGAATTTTACCCCACAGTCAGACTGATACAGATTATGGAGTAGCAAGGGGCTGCCTTCCTTGTAGCAGGGTCATGGTCTTCTTCCTTGAACCTCTTGAGAGTATTTTAACAACCGTCATAGCAGCAGGACATTGACCACCATTGTTCCCCTGCTTTACCTGTAGGTTTTCTCTTATGGTTGTGCCAGAGTTGATTGTATAGTTGTATTAATAGGTTAGACCAGGGGTGGGGAAATGCAGCCCGTGGTCTGTATCCAGCCCACCAGTGGATCCTATCTGGCCTGCTAGCCACTGCTGGAAGCTTAAGGGGGGAGGGCTGTGCCCCATGCCGCTGTGCTTTGTTACAGCCAGGGCCAGGCTACACAGTGCGCAGACTCCTCCACCCAAACTCAGTTTTGGTGACAACACTGCCACCTACTATTCTTTTGCAACTGCACTGTTGATTCAGGACACTGCTGTTTTGTTTTGCTTGTGCTTTTGAGCTTTTTTTTTTACAATCTCTTCTGGCACAGGGTGGCCTGTTTTTTCTGCTATGTCTGGCTTGCCTCTAGCTTCTGTTGTGATTGAATCATAGTGATGAAGCAGCTGACTGCATGGATGACGCTATGGGATAGCTGATATGGAAGAGGCCATTACATGTGAAAGTACTAACTGCAGTGCTGATTGCTTTGCTGGGTCACATTAATTGTGATGGATCCCCAAATACAGCCCATGACCTTGATTTTAGCAATGCATGAAGCATTTTTAAAAAATCATAACAACCTTCTGAAATAATGCTCTACTAAGATGAGAGGAGGGGGAGGCTCCAGTCTCTGTTGTGCTGTTTCAGTCTGTCTAGCTTCAAAGCAAACAGAACAGCAATGTGTTGACTTACTCTATAAAAGCTATTTTCACAAGCAGAAGGAATGGAAGCATCTGTTAAAAGAAAGTAAAGCTGGGGAAAATCTGTGGAAAAAAACTAAACTCCACTCATGAATTTCTATCTTCTTGGGCCACAGCACAGGAAGGAGTCTCTCAGTTCAGTTCCACACGTCTGTCGTTGTTGTCTTGTACAACAGATTGGAGTAGTTCTATGGGGAAACAATTCTTCTTTCTTTTGCAAGCACTACTTCAAACACAGACTGTCTGCCACAACACGGCTAGCTAATTCACAACAGAATATAATCCAGAGATTATGGAGAGGGAATGTTGTCAGAGGAACAGTGTTTCTGTCAGGAGTTAGTCTTCCTTTCTCCTTCCCACTCACTATGGTATTCCCACACAGGCCATCATAGTGCTTAGGGTCGGAAGGGACCTAAATAGATCATCAGGTCTGACCCCCTGCCCTGGGCAGGAACAGGTGCTGGGATCATATCACCCCAGCCAAATATCTGTCCAGCTTCCTCTTGAAGACCCCCAAGGTAG